ACATACACTCTCGCAACCTCTCTCACCCTCACACACACACGCAGACAGAAACAACCTCTCTGTATCACACAAACGCACAACCTCTCACGTGCATTGTGCACCTACACACGCACACAAACACACACACACATACAGAAAAAACCTCTCTCTCACACACACACACACACACACACACACACAGAAAAAACCTCTTTCACTGACACTGACAGACAGACAGACACACATACACACAGAAAAAACCTCTCTCTCTCACACACACACACACACACAAAAAAACCACATGTACAATCTTGCACAGACACGCGCAGACAGCCAGGAACACAGACACGTGCGCACGCGCACACACCTCCGCACAGCAAAGCAAAGCACCGGGGGAAACGGCCCCGCGAACGAGGAGGGCCGAGAGCGCGGGCAGCGAGAGAGAGAGACGCCGCGTTCGGCTCCCATCCCGCCCGCGAGAGGACATCCCGTTTCAGCCGGAACTAAAAATACCCCGCGCCTCCCCCAGAGCTCCTCTCCCCCCAGAGCGCCTCGCCCACATGGCTCAAGACGCTTTAATGTCACCTACTGTAAGGTCATGCCCATCGCCGCCTGTGATATAACGCTTCGGATGACGCCCGGCAGCCGCGGTAAAAATAGGCCCGATTCCGGAATAAATGAACACGAGCGGCGGACAGATTGCTTTCCTGTTATAGTGCTGGTGAACAAAGGCCGAGCCAGGTAACATGTTCCATCACCCAGAAAGCCAGCTGCATGCTCACACTGTACGCATGCACAGCTGCGATACTGTATGCACTTTGACAAATACGGTCATATATATATATGTGTGTGTGTGTGCACTTTATATACTTACACAATTTATATATATATAAAATTACATTATGTTATTGTAATTTAGCAGGTGCTCTTATCCAGAGGGCCTTTCATAAGTTACAGTTTTACCTATCTATGCAGCTGGATATTTACTGAGATACTGGGTTAAATACCTTGCCTACAATACTAAACATTACACTAGACGTACTTATATGCACGTATACATTACACTATATACATATAAAATTTGTATTACATATCATATGTTATAGATAATACACATAAATATTGTGCGTGAGGGTATGTGCATGTGTATGAATATCAAAAAAACAGCATTTAAATTTAAAGCCACATCTTTGGCTTTGGTTTGAAACATCCATTCTGTGGTCCCTCTAGAGTTACAGGAAATATATTTAAAAAAAAAAAAAACAAACAAATTTAAAAGCCTGCCATGGCTTTTGCAACCCCTGCATATTTCAGCCGGCTCCTCTGCTTTGTGCTTTCCGTAGCAGTTCTCGGCCCCGTTTTGCGGGATCTGCGTTCTTTGTGACACAGAAAGAACCCGCAGTTGTGCTGGTAGTGTGAAATAATCGGACGAGTGCAAAGCCACCCCCCCCACCGTCACCATCCCATGCACGCACCTGCCTCCATGTGTCAGGTGCTGGGCATGAGAGGTCTGCTGATCAAGCTTCCAGTCACCCGACATCGGGAGAGAGCCCCCGCCAAATGAACGCCGACTTTAATGAGGCGCACGTGTGAATCAGTTAAGCTCAGCAGTAACAGAGAGGGACATGCGCATGCCATTCTCCATGCGAACAGGAGGGGGTTCAGTCGAAACCTCTGCAGCACTGAATACGCTGGGAAGACAGGTAGATCTATACACAGTAGCGTTTGTGCTTCAAACTCAAACAGCTCAACCGACCGCGGGTAACAGGGTATACAGACTAACAAACAGGCCTCCGACGGGCGGCAAAGTAGCTTTTTCTTGCAAACTTGAAGCACAAACAGGGTTCGAGTCCAAACTCCGGCACTGTTGCCCAGTATCTCTAGCGACACCAGACAAAATCCGCTCCACTCACATGCAGCAATGGGATCCGCTATTAGAGGAAACACTGACTGAACAGGAGTGAAGGGTTACGCATTTAACAACAGAAATTACTGCCGTGTCTGCCTTTCCAGGGAGGAAACGGCGCGGGAAATCTCAAGAACAACTCGGGCAGGTTATGAATAAATGCAGCATCCTAATGCCTGGTATTAGAAACCCTTTCTGGCAGGGCAGGCAATTTGCTTGATGCCGCAACCCAGCTGCAGCAAATCTGGCAACCGCTCCCCAACTGTCTGTCACAGATAGCTCAATTTAAAATAACCTTATAGCAAAACGGGAGCGGGGGGAGGAAATAAAAACCCTGCAATGAATGATAGTCTTTTCCAGTGCAATCTGTTCATTGGATGTTTGCTCCACTGTAAGTCAACGCTGAAAAAATCTGGGAGAGAGGCTGCCTTTTCTTATTAAGTGTGTGAAGGGAGAGGATTAAAAAAAAAGGAAAAAATATGTTTTATGGATGCGGGGAGCTGGAGTTACAAGCAGCGGTTATGCAAACAGAGCCAGGAGTGGTTTTTTTTTTTTTTTTTTTAAGTTAATGAAGATAGCTTTGTGGTGGGCATGAGTGACCCCCCCCCACCTGAGGCACTGGGGGTGGGCCTCGTTAGCTGCTCTCGTTATCTGCTGGTGATTAATGACACGGGGGGCTTGAAGTGACGGCGGGGCGGCCGGGGGGGGCAGGGGGTCAGGAGCCGCCAGTTTCTCTCGGACACAGTCGAAACCTCCCCCCGGTACGAAGTGTGTCGGGGGTGGCGGTCGCGTGCAAATTTAGAACGCGCCGAGCAGGGGCAAGACGCCTCCCCGCCCCCAACGGGTGGGGGGAACCTTCTATTTGAGTCTTCCCTTCATACAATTCTCATTCACCACAAACTGAAGGGGTCTCTAATTAGCTGGCCAATCAGATTTAACCATACAACTGCAGCAATAACGTGCCCATCCACCTTATTTGTCGTTTTGCAAGTGGAGGACAAGCAACACAAATCAAATACTGGACTGTAAAGGCTTCTGCTCAGTCAGCCGTTTACTGCGACAGCATTTCTGATCCACTTGGATCTTGGTCAGATTCTCCTATTTGTATAAGACTGCTTGTGAGGTTAGTATTCACCAGGGCCTCCCTGGAACGGATAAGAATGCACTGAAATGGCTGCCGCCCAAGTAAAGCGTCTATACAGCTGACTCTGCTGTGCCGGCAGACCCGCTGTTCGTCGATAAAAGCACACCAAGGACGGCTCTGTAAGTGAGGTGAAACCCAGGGAAAGCGCTTGGTTGGGACATTCACCTTTATGAATTAGCCTTGTTAGGCCCGCTCATCCAGCGTGCTTTTGCACCGTCAAGCAGAGCACTTTGCACGGGGCGGAACTTTCAGTGCGACACGAAATCCAAAACTATCTGAGCTCCAGTTAGATATTCACATTCAAAGATGATTTTTAAAGCTCATCAACTACCACATTTTAATGGGTGGACCAACCATGTTTGTTAAGCGACTGGAGTCTACAGCTCTGTCTTGGTTTTGGATCCTTATAAAACATCTCAAAGCGATCAAATCGACAGACTCTTGTTTATGACTGAGAGGGGTTCCGCAATATGGGGTGCACTTTCAGCAAAATCATTCATTTCTTTTAACCAATGGAGGAAACCGCCCGCCTTTCAGCCTAGTTTATCAAAAGCTTACCCAAAATTTGTTTGCAGAGCCTCTCAGAAATGGACAAAATGAAGGATAATATTTATTCCACAAACCCTTCGCGTACAGGAACAGCTTTTGGGCAGTAAAAGAAAAAAGGCAATAATTAATGACTTTGTACAATACCGAAAGCGCAAAGTCATTAATTAACACAAACCTGCAGTAGTCAAAATCAAAATGGGTACCACACAACGTGAATTATAAGAGGAATGGCCTGACAAAGATGAAAGGAGTTAGTATCCTTCTACAAACCATTATTCTCCACAAAAATCGCTCGGGAGCAGAAACGGCACTGGTTCTCTATGCTACATTGTTCAGTCCTCTTTGGGAGTTTGCGCCGGCTTGCCCCTCTGACCCCCTGGCTCATCTCTGCCGAGGTCCGCTCACGGAGTGCTATTGAATTAGGGTCACGTGCGCTTTCGCCCCGGCCCTGACAATGAGGAGCCGATGCGTCCCAGTAGCTCGAGGACACGCTCCGGAGAGTGGCCGGGAAAGGAGAGCCTATAAAGCCGTCTGAGGGAAATTGGATGCTGGGATACGCGTTCCCCGCACCTCCACCGGGCATTTGCCCCGGTGACGAACGGGTCAGGAACTTTTGACCCGTGTGGGTAATGACGCACGTGCACATTTTAAAAAAAAAAAAAAAAAAAAAAAAGAAAAAAACATTATGAAAAGGAAAGCACTCTCCGCTTACGCTAAGCCGATCCGAGAGGAGCGCCCTCGCCCCAAATTCGGTAACGATAAAGCTAAATCGTCTGCGCTTAAAGCCGCGTCCTTAACGAGCTTGCAAAAAATAAATGACTTTAGCATTAAAGGCAATTTTCGGGCGGGCAGGGCCGGTCCGGGGGAAAAATGCTCGTGTAGTTAGTCATGTTTTAATGGTGATCTGAAGCGTTTTTAATGACTCACTGCAGAGAAGACTGCCTGATCATTCTTTGTCTTTTTTCCCCCCCATTTCCGCCCTGAGCGTCTTCCCAATGCCACGTGGCTGCAATTATTCAAATTTTGGGAGGAAAAAAAATGACGTGCTCAAACTGCGCTGGGAAGAATCCGAATGAATGCAGGGTTTTGTGTTTGTGTCCGCGGTGCTTTGTTAAATGGAAAAATCTGAGTGGTGGGCCTTCCTGGGAACAGCGTCTCTGACCTTGACTTGTTCGGGGGGATCGCAGGATGTAGCCAAGACCTCAATGCTCAGGCCCAAACGCATGATGGAAACATCTCTGTGGGTTAATGACCTTGAGTAATGGCTTGTTAGCGTTAGGCGCCACGCTGAAAGTAGCCTTTTGCGTCGTAAGGCCGAGCCAATCAGCACATGCAGAATCGAACATGCCCACTGCATGAAAATAAGACATCAATACAGAGTGAGGCCTTGCTCTTTTGAGGTATTATGGCACGTGCGCCAGGGCAGCTGTGTAGCATAGTGGTAGGGAGCAGGACTCGTAACCAAGAGGTTGCTGGTTCGAATCCGTACTGGTGCACTACTGCTGTACCCCAGGTCAAGGTACTCAACCCCGAATTGCCTCAGTAAATATTCAGCTGTATAAATAGGTAACATGTAAGAAATTGTAACCTATGCAAGTTGCTCTGGATAAGAGAGCCTGTTAAACGCCAATAATGTAATGTAATTCATATGAATACAGGTGAGTATTAACACGGATGTCTAGGAGGATAAAGCATTGGGTCCATGCTGAGTTGAGTTGTTTGACTGGGTCAGATTACATTACATTACATACATTGGCATTTAGCAGACGCTCTTATTCAGAGTGACTTACATTGGTTACACCTTTTTACAATGTTACCCATTTATACAGCTGGATATTTACTGAGGCAATTCTGGGTTAAGTACCTTGCCCAAGGGTACAACAGCAGTGCCCCAGTGGGGAACCGAACCGGCAACCTTTCGGTCACGAGTCCTGCTCCTTAACCACTATGCTACACTGCCGCCTACTATGCTACACTGCCGCTGGTTGTGCTCCTTGATGGCCTCCCGCCACAGGTTGAAAGGGTAGGCCATCCTCTCCATGACAGGGTGAGATAAAAGAGGAGAGCGTTATGCTTCTTTCTGCTCAGAGTAGCCAATTACCAGTGCCGCGTGCAATGAGACAGGGGCCGATTCTCTGCATGCAGGCCTCCCTCCTGATCTGGAGGATGCAGAGAATCACGGGATTGGGTCGAGCGTGTCCTGACCGCTGGGCATTTGGAGCGGCGACCGCACCAATGCATGCAGTGACGTCGACCGCCCGCATCACGAGGCTAACCGCGAAGCGACCCCGGTCTCTCTCGCGCACGCACTGCGCAGTATCCGTCCCATCCCCCGCGCCGGCGTCCCGGCAGACAGGGTCACGGTAAATGAGCGCCGGGCGATGCAAACGCCCTGTCAAAATGTATATATTACGTAAGTATATATTACATCGCTGCCCGGCCGAACGGGGGCAAACGAGGTAAGGACGAAAAAAAAAAATAGCCTGGTGGACTTAACGGGAGGGGCTTCAGCTCAACTCAGGACACACTGAACAGTACAAAGAGCCTCCAAAAAAAATATTTCCATCAAGCAGTGTTCCTTCACCAACATACACAGAGCTTTCAAGTAGACTTCTGCTGCAGCACAGAGTTATAAAAAACAAACTTTAACTGTATGAAATTCTGAGTGGGGAAGGTCTGCGGCGTGCAATGTTAACAGCAAGTCATCCACAGTCGTCACGTCTCGCTGCGACCGCCGCCATTGGCTCAGCCCCCCCCGTCACTCACGGCGCCGTCCTATCCCCGGGAGGGGCGGACCTGCAGAGGCCCCCCCTTCCCCCCCCCACCGCCGCCACCCGCACTCTGAAAGGGCTGGGGGATGGAGGAGCCGGAGAGGTTAGGCAGCAGCTGTCAGAGTTAATTTCTGTAATGGTCAACGCATCTGGCCTTGGAGGCTCTCCAACATCCCGCGGTCCTACGGTGAGGAGGGGAACGGGGCCGCGGCGGTTTCCAGAGAGAGAAAGAGAGAGAGAGAGAGAGAGAGAGAGAGAGAGAGAGAGAGAGAGAGCGCCGGCCTTGTTGTTCGGAGAGGGCCTCGCTCGTCCGCGGCGGTTTTAACAGGAACGACGACGCACAACGGGGTGCGTACGAGGAGGCTGGGAGGTGCGTGAGGCAAGGGACCTCAGACAGCAGGAAGGGGGTAACAGGTGTCACAGGAAGTGGAGTGGACTGGGGAGCTACGGTTACACCAACCCCAAAAAACAAATAAATAAATAAACCACCACTCATATTGTCATTTACATTTATTCATTTGGCAGATGCTTTTATCCAAAGCGACGTACAAAAGTGCAAATAGTGAGCAAACAACAGGCACAAGAGCAAGATGTGTACAGGTCATACAATGCAAATAGTGCTGAAGCTGAGCGCAAGGTCAGTGACGTGAGCCAACTAATCTGAACTAGGATTGCATCTCAAATACAATTACAGAAAAAAAAATGGAGTACCGCTATACTACCTAGGTAAGTGAGCAACAAGTACAAGGCAGGAGTCAGATTCTCAACATCAAAGTTACAAGGTCGAAGAGGGAGGTATCAGTCCAGGTAGAGTCTGAAGAGGTGTGTCTTCAGCGCACGTCTGAAGGGTTGGATTGAAGGAGTTGTTCTTAGGGGGGTGGGGAGTTCATTCCACCACTGGGGGGCGATGATGGAGAAGCGTCGTTGTGAGGAGCGTGGGCCTTTCGTTCTATTGGTGGGTGGAGCGAGGCGTCCGAGGCGTCTTTTGCCTCCTCTTCTGAGAGAGCGAGCATGGAGCTTCTTCACAGAGTCAGAAGGTTGGAAGAAACAGGAAGTGTCTGATTTGAGTCCCTGTTCCTGGCTTTGGCAGTGGCGAGAGACAATATGCCAGCTTTCAGAGAAATGACACCCTGAGCAACTCTGCCAGCATTTCAGAGCAGAGAGGCGTAGGACTGTCCTCCAAACGGGCGGGGCGGGGGCCCCCGGAAGGATAGGTGCCTTATTTTCTGCCCGTTCCACTCATCTTCATTACGGTTACTTAGCGGACACTCTTGTCCGAAGCAACTTGCATAGACTGCAGTATACGGATGTTTACTGTGCAAACTCATTAAGTGCCTTGCCCAAGGGTACAACAGCAGGGAATTGAACCTTTGGGCTCCAAACCCTGCACCTTACTGCTACACCACACTGCTGCTCTGCTCCTTACCGCTACACCACACTGCTGCTCCTTACCGCTACACCACACTGCTGCACTGCTGCCCTGCTCCCTACACCACACCTGCTCCACGCCACTGCACTGCTGCTGCCCTGCTCCTTACCGCTACACCACACTGCTGCTCTGCTCCTTACCGCTACGCCACACTGCTGTCCTGCTCCTTACCGCTACGCCACTCTGCTGCTGGTGTCACGGCTCGCCAGGCTATTTGGCAACACTCTAGAGGCTTATGTTAAGAAAACAAGATAAGTTTACTTGTGAATAATTATCAATGAATGTCAATAACTTTCACTTGCAAACAGAGCCCTCAGAGTTTCCGTACTGCCCGACGAGCCGCTCCCCTCAGTGTCCGCTTCACACACGTCAGTGAGCCAGTTGAGGCAGGCAGCACAGTCCAGTATAACTGCCACATAAAAACTCTGCAAAATGAGGATTGACATGAATATACCCGGTGATATGTTGTATAAATGTCACGGAGATGCGGTGGGGGAAATAATGTGCCGATTTAGCGTTAGCGTTCCCAGGCGTGCGCCGAGGCCCACCGGAGCGCCGTATGCGTGCGCACGCTCCCACCGCCGCAGCGGGAGAGTAATTAACGCGGGGTTTTTTTTTCCGATGAGGGCTTATCTCCGGGGGCGCGGGCAGGCTGCTCGGGACGCGGCGGAGAGAGAGGCGCGGGGGACGGGGGAGCGAGGGAGAGAGGTCACCTTGAAACTCTGGGTGGGGGTGAGTCCCTGCGAGAGGACTGACGGACGCGCCCTGACCGGCGGAGCGTCACAAAATCCAACCGCCCTCACGCTCCCCAGATGAGACAAGTCCCGAATTAGAGGCCTAATGCTTGTTCTTGTTCTGAGGGTAATGTCAGCAGTTAACATTGGAATAGAATAGCATAACATTGCTAACTGGTGCTATGCTATCCTATCCCAATATTAACTACTGACATTACTGTTAACATTGCTAACTGCTGCTATGCTATGCTATTCCAATGTTCACTGCTGACGTTTACATTAACATCGCTATCAGCTGCAATGCTATGCTATTCCAGTGGTAACTGCTAACATTAACACTGGAATTGTCATTTACATGCGCATTTTAAAAAACATCTTGGGGAGAGTGTGCCGACTTAAAGATACCGGATAAGGCCAACCAAGCTCTTTTCCTGGGTTTTATCGGATCACAGAGGCACCCCAAATGCCACCGAGTCATTCTGAGGAAGGTGGAGGCCCCCGGAATTCGACAAACACGACAGAAAACACAAGTCATTGGACACCGACACAGGGTTAAAAATATATATATATGGAAAAAGTGCAGGCCATCCTGTCCTCTGCCCAAGCCCACGGTACTCGTGGCAGGGTCCTCTCTGCTGCACTGGCTCCACAGAGCCCAGTCTCCGGCCCCCTCCGAGATTTCGGCTCGACAGACGAGCTCGGAACAAAAGCCTCAGCCCTGGGGTCACTGCGTCTGACTCATAGGCCGAGCCGGGATTTCAACCATCATCTTTTTAATTAGAGACGGAGGGGGCTGAGAGAGAGAGAGATGACTAAACCCTTTTAACATTGAACATTATTCAACAAGATTATTCATGTTTGTGAGCTGGCATCGGCACCAGAACGCTGTACACGAGTAACAACAATGATCGTAAAACAATGACACGGTTTCAGAGAACATTCAAGCGGGCTAAAGTGCAGGGGTCTGGCCTTTTATTGGGTGTTTTATGTCAAAATTGATTCACGCGAATTAAGGGCCTCTCAGAATTTCATGCAAATATATTCTGCGTTGTCAGCTTAGGGGGATGCATTAACACGAGAGGGGTAGTTTTCTCCCTGTCTTTTTTGGGGGGGGGGGGTTAACTGGCATATTAATTCCTCCTCTTAGAGGGAAAGGCTTTTTGATCTGCTTGCGTAACCGTCTCCACGCGCACATCGATTCACCGCACATCCTTGAACCTCACTTCTGCGTGGAGCGGAGTGTGTGTGTGTGTGTGTGTGTGTGTGTGTGTGTGTGTTAGTGAGAGTGAGAGAGAGAAAAGAGCAAGAGAGAGGGTAAGAGAGAGACAGAGGGAAAGAGACAGAGGAAGAGAGAAGGAGAAGGAAAGAACAAGTGAGAGAGGAGAGGGAGAGGTAAGGAGAAAGACAGGAAGAGGGAAAGAGAGAACAAGAGACGGTGGGAGCAAAAGGGAGCAAGAGGGAGAAAGAGGCAGAGAAATAGGGAGAGCAAGAGATAGAGGGAGTGAGTGAGAGAGAGAGAGAGAGAGAGTAAGCTAGGACGGCAAAGTACAAAAATATTCCAC